AGAGAGAGAGAGAGAGCTGCTGCTGCAACAAGAGACGAGACGCTTCTTGGATCACAAATAGGAGGATGCGGGGCGCATGCGCACTGGGCTCCGTTTACTGTAGGATATTCACCGTGGAGGAAAAAGGGGGGCAGGCAACAACCCAGGCTTTTTTTTACAAAACGGCTAAAAAACAAGGGAGCAGTGCAAAGTGAAGTCCTCCTATAGGAGGGACACGATATAGGATTATCAACAGGTAGGATTTGAATTGATCTGGTGATCGGCTGTATCTCCATCCTCCCTCTCTCCATCCCTCGCTTTCTCTCGCCTCTTTTTTTTTTTCTCTTTTCCCGGCCTTGTCTTGTGTGGCGGCGGCTGCGTCTCCATCCCTGGGTGAATTCATACAAATAGCGGGGACATGATGGGGATTAATGTCATTATTCTAGTGTAATGGACGCGCGGACCCGCTGCGCCGTTGTGCTTCATCCAGCCGACCGGGGCGCAAGGACGATGGTTTTACCCTGCTGTGTTTTTTCACTGGGATCCATCGGATTCAGACGCGCGTAAAAAAAAAACACGACTGACAATCGGAGGACGCATTAAAACGCGTAAGTAGACACCCACTGCCAGTACTGATGGGATCAGGCATTGAGATCTAGACTTTATGTTTCGTCTAAACAATAAAAAAAAAATGGGTATTGCTTATGATGTTCTGCAATATTGCTACCAGCAGGGTTGTTGTAGTCACTTCTACCATCCATTTATCCATCCATCCTCATGATCACAAGTACATTTATGTGGAAATGCGCTTTATAGGGTCAGTGTTATTCTCTTATCAGTCTTAATTCTGCCTGATTATGATATAAAAAGACAAAAAAATGGTGCCTTGCTCATCTAACGCCCCTGTAATGAGAGCAATGCTCATCAACCTCAATCCAGTTAACCTTTAAACAGACAAAAACACGGATGCTCTGTGTTATGCATGAGTCCTCCGTCGATTTTTCCACAATGCATAAAGGCAGGGGCGAGTTTTATTCAAGGCATCCGCTGCTTCCTCTGTTCTGCAGGGTGTGAACATGAGGATTTTTTATCCCCTCTTAATGTGGAAAAAATATCCCAAAAAATGTCCAATCCAAGCCCTTGTTTTTTGGGGTATGGGTTGGTTTCTCCTCTTCCTACATGCAAGGGTAGAAATGGGTCTTTTGTAACCCAGTGGAGGCTGGATTGTGCCTTTTCTCTTCTCCTCCTCACCCTGGTGATTTTCCCTCAAGAATCCAGACGTAAATCACGATTGTCACAGATTAATGGTTTTGGTCTAATCAGGCTCCATTACTTGTCTGTCTGTGTCGCTTTCTGTGAGGCACTGTGCCACTCTAAATATGAAAATGTATGGAAGATAAATAAATAAATGGCAGGGAAGCAGAGGGAGGCTGTGACTTATCACAGTCTAGAATATGTGCAAGTGCAGTTGAAAACAATGCAGCTGTTGTGTAAGACCGAACGCTGATGGGTGGATGATATTTTTCAGGTTTTTTTTTTTTTTTAGGTGTGATGAGACAAAGGAACAAAGGATGCCTTAGGGGAGAGGTTGCCTATATGCCTGGAAACCTCTTCAAAGCACATCGCCAAATGGATCTAACGCCTCCCCCCGCCACCTCTAGATCATGATACTTGGCTGAAGCTATTCCGCTATCTTTATGATCCCTCCTCCATCTATGGCGAACTATAGTCATGCAGGGGACCACACCATCTTGCAGAATGTCTCTCCTCTCGCCACGTTCCTCAAATTGACCTCCCTGGGTTTCATAATCGGTGTCGGCGTGGTTGGAAACCTCCTGATCTCCATCCTGCTGGTCAAAGACAAGAGCCTGCACCGGGCACCCTACTATTTCCTGCTGGACCTGTGCGCCTCCGACATCCTGCGCTCCGCCATCTGCTTTCCCTTCGTCTTCACTTCGGTCAAGAATGGGTCGGCCTGGACGTACGGCACGCTGACTTGCAAAGTTATCGCCTTCCTGGGTGTGCTCTCCTGTTTCCACACAGCCTTCATGCTGTTCTGTGTCAGTGTCACCCGCTACCTGGCCATTGCTCATCACCGTTTCTACACCAAGAGGCTCACCTTCTGGACCTGCCTCGCCGTCATCTGCATGGTGTGGACGTTGTCGGTGGCTATGGCGTTCCCGCCAGTGCTAGATGTAGGGACGTACTCTTTTATCCGGGAGGAGGACCAGTGCACATTCCAGCACCGCTCCTTCAGGGCGAACGATTCGCTGGGCTTCATGCTCCTGCTGGCGCTCATCCTCCTGGCCACACAGCTGGTTTACCTCAAGCTCATCTTTTTTGTCCATGACCGTCGAAAGATGAAGCCTGTCCAGTTCGTGCCTGCCGTCAGCCAGAACTGGACCTTCCACGGGCCGGGTGCCAGCGGGCAGGCAGCGGCCAACTGGCTGGCTGGATTTGGCCGTGGCCCCACCCCACCTACTTTGCTGGGCATCAGGCAGAACAGCAACGCAGCGGGCCGCAGGCGTCTACTGGTGTTGGATGAGTTCAAAACGGAGAAGAGGATTAGTAGGATGTTCTACATCATGACGTTTTTCTTCCTGGCTCTGTGGGGGCCCTATCTGGTTGCCTGCTACTGGCGGGTGTTTGCAAGGGGCCCCGTGGTCCCTGGGGGCTACCTGACGGCAGCCGTGTGGATGAGCTTTGCCCAGGCGGGGGTCAACCCTTTCATCTGCATCTTCTCCAACAGGGAGCTCCGGCGCTGCTTCAGCACGACGCTCCTCTACTGCAGAAAATCCAGGTTACCAAGGGAACCCTACTGCGTTATATGAAGGTTTTGCTGTGGGTTTTTTCTCATCTATGTCTCTATTTCCCTGATTGATCTTGATGTGGGCTCGGTCCCACTGTACAGTGCACTCTCTCTTTCTATCTCTCTTCTCTTCATCCTCCAGTTTTTCCTCTCGTTCCTCCTTCTGCGAACCCCTTTTTCAGAGGTGGAAGGTGAACAACCAATCACGAGGCTCCGCTGGAGGTGATTGAGTGTGAAATGTATCAAACATGGAGGCTGAAGGGAATGGGAAATGCGCAGGAGGTCTCTCTGGATCCCCCTCCTGTGTTTATGTTCTAGTAAACAGACATTGTTGGAAGGCCATGCCAATGCAGAGAAGCAAAAAGCTTGAAAAAAAAAGAAAAGATTTGACGAGAACAATGAAAACTAAACCTCTTTCTTTGGATTTGAAGATGCGTTATTCTGTGAGGTGTAAAAATGAAAAGAAAAAGAAAAAAAACGACAAAACAAAGAAATGATACCTCTCAAGGAATCACTGGAAATGTTTTACATTTTTAAGAGTTGCACTAAAAAGAAGATGTAAAGATGCTTTTTTTGGTCAACAGTTGCCCGTTGCGTTTGCAAGGACAACTTTTTCTTCTTTTTTTGTGTGTGTGTGGGGGGGGGGGGATTTCCCCAAAAATAAACAATGAATGCTTTAATTTGCAACAGACTACACAATCGCTGTAAGTAAAGCAAAACTTAGTGACTGTTGGAATACACATCACAAGAGGATAA